TCTTTCTCTTACTCCGATTCTTAGCTGTCAGCGGGTTATAGCAAAGTATGTTATCATCGTCACTTTTCATTATTACTTCTTTTGTAGCTTCCGAAGACAATGGACGTGACACAAGCCACCATTGGAGCTTTGATATTTAAATGACGATTAAAGGCGGACTAGGTTGCTAACAGCTACTACGTCGATTCCGTTAATCATACGATATTTAGCCACAGAGATATCATTTGCAGGAGGTGCACGTTCACATAATTATATATCGTTTAATTAATATATTATATATGTACAAAATAAATACATTATATTTTATATGCCCAAATTCATTTGTTCATGCTCTAACACTTTCCAGTTTTTGTCTTATGCGGTCAGCGCCGCCGTTATCATTGTTGGAATCAACGAAGGTTTCTTCTTGCTTTTGTGACGAGTGAATTACTTTTTTTTAAAGCTATTCTGCTGTAACGACTTTATTTTAGTAAGTAAAGTAAACTTCAGTTCAAATGCAATATTCACGACTTCACTTACCAAGGAATGCAATTTCTTTATTAGTTAATCCAGCAGCAGATCCAAGGCCTCTCACTGTCTGTCCTAAAATTGCATCGATTAGCGTGTTACAAATCCTTTGATGATGATTGCGGCGTCCTATATTTATTATAATTATCGGAAGAATGACTATAAAACGGATAGCTCCTGGGATTTATTGGTCGTCATGCTGATTACCGTATCTTACAGGAGAGGGGCACACTCAAATGGGATCCAGCCTTTTTCATACTGACTTACCGGCCATTTATGTTCTTTGCATTGACATCGGATCCAATTGAAGTAAGACTATAACCATTTCCAAATATCCTTTGCATGCCGCATGATGTAGAGGAGTGTTACCTCTGTATCAAATGAAATAATGTAAATACGGTTTGGATCAAGCATAACAAGGTGCAAGTAATTAAGATAGATACCGTAAGTCTTTTTGGTTCACCAAATGCAAACAACGTAAAGCAAATGTATTAATAATTACATAAAGACCCCAAATAGCATAAAGCAATATATTAATAAATGAGGTAAAGAAGGCCCATGATGTTCCCACTGTACATGAATATGCACATGTCACTTATGTATTGTACAATAACAGTCGGCATATATTATATTACCAGTTGTTGCACGACGTCAATGGGATAGACCCATCTCACATGGTCTGTCTCACCGTTCGTTTAGCGAACAATTTGCTCTCAATGCCATCTATAATGGCTTCCGTACACAAACTCCGTGATCTACAACCGATCGAAGCAGCAACACCCTTAGCACTTTTTCTCAGATATCGACATGAGGCTTTGTCATCGGCGACGATGATATTTCAGTTTCGGAACCTGCGCCGCCCAAGCCGACTAAATCGTCGTCCGCCAAACCACAGTCTGCAAAGGAATTTTGTCAGAAATTCACTAATGGAGTATGTCCAGATGACTTGGATGACGATGA